GGATAATACACTTTGTACCATCCTTTCGCTCCCCTCGCATCTCCAAAGTGAACAAATTCATTTGCTAAATGAGCTGCTACTGCAATACTCGCATTCCCAAAAGTCACAATGGCACATCTTTGTCTAAACGGTACAAGCGCGGTTATTTCAGATCAGTAAAATAACAAGAAGAAACAACAGTTGCTGAAGAAATTGAAAAAATAAAAAAATAAAGAAGTATACCCTAAAGCGTCCACTTTGAATTCAATGCGTTTGATTTCGTAACTGTTAAAAGCAAAATTCCGTATATGTTCTTCCGCAATGTTCTCATCTATCGGTTTAATAATCAACTGATGCATCACCTCATTGGGTTCCCGTACCCTTCCCAAACGCTCTTCCAGTTCGCCTTTGAGGCGAATTGCAGTTTTCGCTAAAGCGGAAAAATATTAAACCGCATCATCCTCAAAACTTCTTCATACTTTAGAAAACTGACTTTGAGGCAAAAATATTTTTAGTCGGCGCCCTCGAGACGTCCTGACATGCACCAGATAATTGATCGCGCAAGAACTTACAACAGTCTCATCAACAAACTTAAGTTCCATTTTCCTGCAAAAAGTCTCAAATTCAACATTTTCAACCACTTATAAAGATACAGAGGCAAGGAAGAAACAACAATTCTTTCATCATTTCCGCAGAACTTTCAATTAACAGAGACGTCTAAAAACTCGAAAACTAATACCCTAACTAAGACCAGGCAAAAAGGGGGAAAAAATCATTTCCTAAACCTCATATCACAAAAAAATTACGTCTCAACCAGATGTAACTGTCCAAGAGAAAAGGATAGAGATATACCCCGTAAATTCTTTCATATCACCACTCTGCTTATCAAACGACAATTTAATTTCTGAAGAGCGGACTATCGCTGGGTAAAGCCATACGTTTGATATATCAGTGTAGGATGCGTTCTCAATAATTAATGTACGGCGATCGGCTGAGTTATGCACCGCTAAATTGAAACAAATAATTGTTATCACAACAAATATATTTCTATAGATGAAAATTAATCCCACAATACTTTCATATAAAATGACAGTCGACTCACTTCGCCACTGAAACTCCGGAGCACCATCCCAAGAAACAGGCAACATTTTAAAATGCTCTTTATGATTGTCAATTTTGCAAAGAGGCGTTAGCTCCTTGTTCGGAATCTGTGCAGGTACTGTTCCAACTATATTCATTTCACTTTTTTCGTCTTTCGACTGCAAATCATTTCCGCACTGCTGCATATCCATTGGCTCGTTCTGAATAGAAATTTCCACATCTTCTTTTGCCGTACTAAGCTCTTCTGTAGATAAAGGTGGCATTTCCCCCACACCATCTAAATTGTTAAAAATTCACAAGTGTAAGAATGAGTCAATGTCAAAGAAGCTCATAACAGTAATTAACACTCAAAATCTGCATTTACATAGAGTAAAACATATTATACTTCGTCCTAATAAAATAAGTCGTTTGTCAATGTTATTTTTAAAGAAAACTAAGACAAATAAAAAAGCCACAAATTCCTGCTTCAAAAAAAATTTTTTTTTTTTTGAAAATCGTACAATGAGTTTTTTCTTAACAACATATTTCTGACAGAAACGAACAGAAACGTTTATCATAGGTGTATTACAAGTGGCAAGAGGAGTAGAGGAGTATAAGCGAAAAAACTTCAGAGCCTAAAAAATAATCAAACCGCAAATTAAAAATTCATATAACCATAAAGAATAGTTCTCCCATTTACCAAAAATAGCTTATTGAGAGTATCCCACAAGCTCATTAGAAAAAATAATATGCAGTAATATGCTGATAACGGTAGCGCCATAAAGTGAAAAAGTCCTTTCTCTAAAACCTGAAAATGTGGCACTCCCAGCTGCGACTGTTTGGAATCACCGCAAAACTAGAAAATGCGATTTGCGAAATCGACAGTTCGAAAATCGTAAAACGCGACCACGCGGAACTGCTCAGGCTCTAAGAAAAAGCTAACAAGAACAGTCGCGACGATGAGAGACGCAGCGTGGCAAAGGATTGCATTAGAAGCTCAAAAATAATCAACCAACAAGGAAAAATTAAAGGTGTTAAAGTACCTTTCTTGTTCTCGACACTTCCCTCTTCTGGATAAGCAGAATCGGTTTCATCGTTCTCAACGAATTTCCCATCTTCCGTCGACTTAAGATGAGCACACCCATTTGTGCTATCATCTGTCAACTTTAGGCGATCTGATGCATCTGTTGCATGTGGGGCAGTAGCGGAAGACACTGATTCCGCTTCTAACTCTTCTTGTTCTTTTTTGCAAAGAGTCACATTCGTATTGTCAGAAGGTTGCACGATGTCAGGCTTCTGATCAATAACGCATTGTGATGCTTTTAAAGTGGAATCCACCTTACTATCCACCAATTCTCCACCGCCTCCTGCACACTCATTCGCAAATTCAAGCTCATCTTCAAGTTCCAAAATCTCTTTAGGAATTTGCGTAATTGTTTCAATCGTGGTAGGGGCCTCTAAGTTCCCTTTTTGCGCAATTACTCGATGTTTATGCGCACGCGAGCGAAATGAAATAAGGCATTTGCAAGCAAACTCCTAAAACATTGTGTTCAGTGCATAGTTCATAAATCTTCAAATTTAGATGATCAAATAAGAGAAACCGCTCTGAACGAAGGCATATGAACATTTTTTTTT